AAACATGTTCAAGATATTAATTAATACATTTGTTTAAGCATATGTATTGTTTGAGAAATTTAGTTTATTAAAGTAATAGTTAACTTTGTGGCTCTGATTTGAACTATGTAGTTGAGTAATTGATTTACATTTTAGATTTTAGTTGGAAATGTTATCAAATATATATGAGGTATTGAATATTTTAAAACAAATTAATAATTACCATAATTAAAACTTTAATGGGTTAGATTTATAAGCCTTCTTTAAGTATTTGGGAGGGCTTATTTGTTGATCAAACCTTTAAAAGGAAATTAAATATATAACACTTGATAGTGAGATTTGAAGTTCTTGTTTTTCAATTGCCCGGTCATGTCCAACTCTTTGCTACCCCAAGGACTGTAGCACACCAGGCCTGTCTGTCCTTCACCTTCTCCCAGAGTTTGCCCAACTTCATATCCATTGCATTAGCGATGCCATCCAGCCATCTCATCCTCTGACTGCCTCTTCTCCTTCTTCCCTCAAGGCTTCCCAGCATCAGGGTCTTTTCCAGTGAGTCAGCTGTTCACATCAGGTGACCAAAATATTAGAACTTCAGCCTCAGCATCAGTCCTTCCAATGAGAATTCAGGGTTGATTTCCTTTAAGATTGACTGATTTGATCTCTTTGCTCTCCAAGGAACTCTCAAGAGTCTTCTCCAGCACCACAGTTCAAAGGCATCAATTCTTTGGTGTTCTGCCTTCTTTACAGTCCAGCTCTCACAACCATATGTGACCACTGAAGAGACGATAGCCTCGGCTATACAGACCTTTGTTGGCAAAGTGATGTCTTTGATTTTCAATATACTGTCTAGGTTTGTCATAACTTTCCTGTCAAGAAACAACCATCTTCTGATTTCATGGCTGCAGTCACCATCCACAGGGATTTTAGAGCTGAAGAAGAGGAAATCTGTCACTGCTTCCACCTTTTCCCCTTCTATTTGCCATGATATGATGGAGCTGGATGCCATGATCTTAGTTTTTTTAATACTTTATTTTAAGCTGGGTTTTTCACTCTCCTTCACAACCTAGACAGCATATTAAAAAGCAGAGACACTACTTTGCCAACAAAGTTTTATCTAGTCAAGGCTATGGTTTTTCCAGTAGTCATGTATGGATATGAGAGTAGGACTATAAAGAAAGCTGAGCACAGAAGAATTGATGCTTTTGAACTGTGGTGTTGGAGAGGACTCTTGAGAGTCCCTTGGACTGCAAGGAGATCCAACCAGTCCATCCTAAAGGAGATCAGTCCTGGGTGTTCATTGGAAGGACTGATGCTGAAGCTGAAACTCCAATACTTTGGCCACCTCATGCAAAGAGTTGACT